AAGAGGGGTTGTTGAGGTGGTTTGGTCATTTAGAGAGAATGACATGGAGAGCATATAAATCTGTAGGGGAAGGAAGGCGGGGTAGGGGTCGTTCTCGAAAAGGTTGGAAGGAAGGGGTAAGGGAGGTTTTGTGGCCGAGGGGCTTGGACTTCCAGCAGACGTGCACGAGCGTGTTCGATAGGAGTGAATGGAGACGAATGGTATTTGGGACCTGACGATCTGTTGGAGTGTGAGCATTGTAATATTTAGTGAAGGGATACAGGGAAACCGGTTATTTTTATATAGCCGGACTTGAGTCCTGGAAATGGGAAGTACAATGCCTGCACTCTAAAGGAGGGGTTCAGGATATTAGCAGTTTGGAGGGATATGTTGTGTATCTTTATACATATATGCTCCTAAACTGTTGTGTTCTGAGCACCTTTGCAAAAACAGTGATTATGTGTGAGTGAGGTGAAAGTGTTCAATGATGATGAAAGTATTTTCTTTTTGGGGATTTTCTTTCTTTTTGGGTCACCCTGCCTTGGTGGGAGACAGCCGACTTGTTAAAAAAAAAAAAAAAAAAAAAAAAAAAAATTACTGTTATGCAGACTACTTCATTATTGTAAATATGGTATAAATAATATCAGTGCACTAGTGAAAGAATATTAGACTCCCCAGTTGACATGCATTGGACGTGTGGTGTGATTTGCTTACTCCTGAACATTGGTAAAAACCGAACATTTCCGCTACTTTGAGCTCAATTTCAACGTTGTTTTCATCGTGAAACTAATCACAATCATCTCTATTTCTGTAATATATTTTACATTTTATCACGTGAGCCCATGAAAACGAGAATACGATAAATACTATACGAAAATACATCTCAAAGTCTGCGTTTTAATCCAAAAAAAATGGCCAGTTTTTTTTTTCTCATTACACACTGTGTGCTGCAGGATTTTTTTTATGTGGTGCACACTGACCACACAGACCCATTCTCTAACATGTAGACCTACCAGCTTTCTCCTGCTTGATTTGAAGCCGCTAGAATTTACGCGTATAAATACGTCCAAAACAGTGGAGCGTAAGACGTATATATATATGACCAAAACAGTCAAAGGGTTAATGATCTTAGTATAGGGTGCAAGGTGAATAGTATTTTTTTGTAGAAAGTCAGGTGTGGTAGGTATCGTAGCACATCTGGCCACCCCACCCACACATTATATACATGTTACAAAGCATTTAAATTGTCCTAGAGTGATAAAATGCATATACAGTACACTCATTACTTACCTTTAAATATTTGTAGTCTTAATGTAGGGTGAGAGGTGAGTAAACGAGATTAAATGAGTAAATGAGGGAGAGAGCGACAGAGAGAATAAGTACATGAGAGAGGACAGATGCGAGTTATGTAAACAAGCCAACCGAATGCGTATGGTTTTAGTTCACTCCGGCAAGCCGACTAGAAAAACATCTCATATTTATGTTAATTTATTCTACTGTGGGTGTATTTATCATGTTTGTATGTTAGGTAGCGTGTTTATTATATAATTTAAAAAAAAAATCATAGATGGATCAAGCAAAATGTCTATATTAATGTTTTATATGACATTTAACCCTTTGAGGGTTTCGGACGTACTAGTACGGCTTACGACCCAGGGTTTTTGATGTACTAGCACGCCTAAATTCTAGCGCCCTCAAATCTAGTGGGAGAAAGCTGGTAGGCCTCCATATGAAAGAATGGGTCTATGTGGTCAGTGTGCACAGTATAAAAAAAATCCTGCAACACACAGTGCATAATGAGAAAAAAAAAACTTTGACCGTTTTTTTGGAATAAAACAGCAACTTTGCACTGTATTTTCGTATGGTATTTATTGTTGTATTCTAGTTTTCTTGGTCTCATTTTATAGAATGGAAGGCATATCATAGAAATTGAGATGATTTTGACTGGTTTTACAATGAAAAGTACCTTGAAATTGAGCTCAAAGAAGCAGAAATGTTCGATTTTTACCAAAGTTCAAAAGTAAACAAATCATGCCAAGCGTCCAATACACGTCAACTGGTGAGTCTAATATTCTTTTGCAAGTGCGCCAATATGATTCATACCATTTTTTATGCTAATGCAGTAGTCTGCATAACAGTAAATCTTCTATTTTTTGTGAGAATAAAAATTCAAAGAGGAAAGCAAAAGAATGTAAGAGGGGCCTTGAGACATGACTAATGAACAGAGGAAATGTCATTTTAGTGCCAGGAATGTATTTCTTGTTTGTTCTGGACCCTATTCGGAAATTGGCATCTTTTGAAATTTGTGTGAAATTGGCAAAATTGCTAAATTCTGACCACTGTACTGGATAGTTGAAATTGGTAAATGGGTGGTTTCTTGCACTCATTCAATAGAAAAAAATGGAGTTCTAGCAAAATATTCATGTTTTTTGTCGACTAGTACAGTGGAACTAGCCGAAAATGGGGCTCAAAGTGGGCAAAATCGCCGATCCGTAAACATCGCCGAGACCGCTAACTTCACGAGAGCATAATTCCGTAAGTTTTCCATCAAATTTCATATTTTTGGTGTCATTATGATCGGAAAAAGATTCTCTATCTTTTCATAAGAAATTTTTTTTTTTTTTTTTTAAATTTGGCCGACCCTGAGAACGAGTCTCGGAGAAGGCCTGTTGACCCTCAAAGGGTTAATGTGCCTCAGAGTGATTATTATTGTGTTATTATTATTATCATTATTAATATGGCATCTTCAAGACTTATAAGGCAATCTTAGAGATGTTAATGTGTATCGGCACGCCAGCACAGTGTGTAAGTTGACTTAGGTACAGGTACACGTAAGTATAATTATCAGAGTAGTACATGTATATATAAAATAACTTTAAAATGCTTGAAAATTTGAAAAGTTTCCAAAGATAATGAAGAGATGCGGTGCTCATGGAGAATGTAAACAAACTGGGTGGCATGCACTGTATTAGAAAGACAGAGGGAGCTGTATAGCGAGTTTTGGTCATAATTTGAAATCGCCGTATTAGCGGAACGCCATAAGGCGAAACATCATAAAGCGGGGCCCTACTGTATAGAGATTCAAAGTGGGTATTTTCTAAACCATAACTCTGTTGCAAAGTATAGCTAATGATGGGGTGAGGGCCAGAACACATCATCACAGTAAGGATTTACTTACTAGACAGCTATGTGCTTCATGAACGAGTCTTGTATAACCCACAGTGTCCTGCAGTACATATGATACTACTTGATAAATGATAGTGGTATATATGGACAAAATAATAACAGCAAAATTGATGTAAAGGTATACCAAGTTTGTAAAGAAAATATAAGTTTACTTAGGTATAGGTACACATAGGTATAATTATCAAAGTATACATGTATATAAAATATGAAATAACTTTAAAATACTTGAAATTTTGGAAAGTTTCCAGACATAATTGAGAGATGTGCTCATGGAGAATGTAAACAAACTGGGCGGCGCGCAGTGACCGTATTAGAAAGTCAGGTGGGGGAGCCGTATAGAGAGTTTTGTACATAATTAGAAATATCCATATTAGTGAAATGCTGCAAGGCAAAATGCCACAAAGCAGGGCCCTACTGTATCTGGTATATCCATGTGAATCCTCCTGTTAGGTTAGTCACATGAAAGAAGAAGGAATGTTTGGATTACCATTATGGTCTTAAAATAGCATTAGTCAGCAATGATTATAGGATAGTTAAAGCTTAACAGAATGCTAAATAATAGTTTACCACTTCTTCATGTGGCTCCAGTATTATATTTGCTTTTATTCCACTGAACACAGGCAAATAGAACACTATAAATACAGTATAGAATATATAAACTAATAGATTGTAAGTATATGATTGAAATTAAAGCAACATATAAAAGAATAAGAAAGAGATGATTGTGGATGATGGTTGGTTGATGTTGAAGTCTCCTGCTAGTAGTAGGTGGTGCTTATTCATGTGTGTATCTGTAATCAGTGCTGTTAGTTTATCACTAAAGGCTGGGATATTAGTATGAGGCATCCTGTATATGGCTCCAATTGTTATAGTTTTTTTTTTTTTTTTTTTTTTTTACAGAGAAGTTTGCAAATATACATTGACCGCATTCATCATTGAAAGATATGATGTTCTACATGATAGTTCATTAGAATAATAGATGGCAATACCTCCCCCAATTTGTTCTGGCCTGCAGTTGTGGACTGCTGTGTATCCTGATAGTGTGTAGATGTCTTTTGTGTCATTCTTAAGCCAGGTTTCAGTAAGAATAATACAGAAGAAGGTTGTCTCTAATGAATCTTGGAGTGCCAGGAGGTCATCATAGTTTTTACTTAGGGATCTAATATTGTAATTCAAAATTGTAATATTTCTGGCATTGCTGAGGACAGCACTGGCTTCTATTGCTGTAAAGTAAAAGGCAGTTGCTTTCACTTAAATGTTGACTGGGATTTAGATTATATAGATTCAGTTCAGGGTCGATTTCAGCATTGAGCATTTAGGGTTGACTGGTAAATATATAAATGATTATGAGTTGCAGAAGGTGATAAAGGGTAATATTAATATCTGTAATAGGGGAAGGGGGTTGAACAATATTGGCATTAGTGTATATTGTCTAGTAGATTGTAGATACTAATAAACACATAGTGATATAGTAGTAATGAAATATAATGAATGATTATGACTAGATATATCAATCGCACCTAACTGTTATTTCACTAATGACTGTATACAGTAGACAGTAAAAAAAATAAGGTTATAATCAGTAGCACCTGGCTTTGGATTGTATTTCACTAACTCTATTATAGACTGCACACAATAGACAGTTAAAAATATAGTTCTATACTAATAGAGGACAGTAAAAGATAGTAAATAATAATGCTGGGTGATATTGCCATTCACACTAAATCTCAAGAGTGCAAGTCCCAAGGATATTCATGAAATTGACATTCTGAACCAACCCACCCTCTAAACCATCACAGCTCTACATGTTGCACTTGCTACAAACACTGGGTTACCTTCTCTGACTGAGCATGCGTCCACAAGTGGGACAGTGACACCGTTGTCTGGAAGGCTGTGTGTATGGAGAGGTGGAACCCATTCCCCCAGATCCACTTCCTGCCATTGTAAGTTGAACATCAGATAAGTGGAATGAGAAGCGATGAATCGGATCTGTTGCACCTGTGATGAGACAGACAAGTTTTTCTATCCTGTAAACTAAATGATTAAGAATGAAACTTTGAAACTTAAATATTCACTTGAGGATTACATGTATACATGTATAAGTTTTTCTACTGAATATCTCAGTGAAAACCATTAACCTGAAAATCTAACATTTAAAGTCATTATGTCACTAAATTCTTTTCGAAAATGTTGAATATTGTACAGTTATGATAATAAACTTGCTATGATATATAAAATATGGCAAAACTACCTAAATTAATTAATGATTTAATAAATTATTACTGTTAATAATCAAATCACACATTTAATTGTTAATAAAGTAGGAAATGTTATTCTTCTATATTATCAGCACTACTTACTGAGCTATATTCTATAGTGTGGTCAGGGATAATAGTGAAAACATTAATGAATGTCATAATACATATGTAATTAATACCATTAAAATATACACAAGAATCATATATCAAGGAAAAAAAGCATTTGGGCAATTTATTTTTTTACATTAAAAAGTGTTTTTTCTCACTTTCCCTTAGGAAAAAAAACATACAGCATAAAAAGCTTTACAGTACTGTACTTTAAAAAAAAAAAAAAGCCTCTGGGGGTAAAAATGCACTTTAAATAAAGTTTTTAGCTGTATGAGCAAACCCCGAAATAACGGATCTGTATAAAGTTTTTGAAATACAAACAATTGCTGAGTTGGTTGATCTGAAACAGGGGACAAAATCTGTTGGTTACAGTTTGCCTTTTATTTTACTTGTGCATAAACTCAGTCTCTTAGTTTTGCTACACTTGCATTCCCACACCCATTTACCCCCTTAACCCATATGTCAAGATTTTTCTGTCTTGTCAACCTTACTTGGTACTCCATCCCTTTTTTCCATTATTTACTAAAAGCAACCCCTATAGAATTATTTGATAAAAAAGGATCCCTTTTGCTAATGTGTTGGTTCCCATGGAACTACAAATTGAACTTGTTAGAAAACACACAATACTGATACTTTAACAACATTGTAAGGGGTTTTTTCATCAGCATTCTTAAAGTGAAAACATATATTTTTAAAAATTTACGTCACATTGTGATACTTTAAAATTTTAAAAGGGACATAGAGGAAAAGAAAACTGAAGAAATAAAATTTTTTGTTTTTTATTCGTATTTTTAAAAACGGGAAAAATTTACTTCCCAGTCACCACAAACACCATAAAAAAACCTTACGTATACAACCAACTGAACCTGAAAAAAATATACAATTTTTGCGATAAAAAGATTACTCCATTATAAAACACTAAGACATTCACGTTCCCCTCATACGAGGTAACACTTTTGAACATAAAGCCGTATTTGCTAGCATTTTTTTTTTTAAAATTTGGTTAGAACAAAAAGAGTTTTGGGAAATAAATTTTTCTGAAAAATTGAACTGCGACAAATAGGGATAGCTTATGTAGTACAAACTCACAGCAAAATAAAAAACCTTCAAAATTAAGTAAAACATATGCATAATATTTATGCATGATTTTTTTGGGAAAATTTTGACTTTAAAGGTAAAGTTGGTAGAAGAAAAAATTACAAATAATTTTTATTTGAATATAATTTTATACATAATTTTTTAAATTCATGTACAATATTTCTTTTTTGATAATCAGCGGCGGGGTCATAAGTAACAAAATCTTTATTTCCCCTTTTCAGCACATATTTTAGTTAAATAAGTAATCAAAAAGAGCAGATTCTATAATACATTTTTTTGTTTAAAAACCCTTTAAAAGGCCAAAAAGTAAATTTTGTTTACGCGCGTAGCGCCCCCCAAATATATATAAGTTTTCTTTTTTCTTCATTCAACATTGCCCAATAAACCGAGCACCCAGACAGAGGGGGAAAGGGTGGTACACTCGGTGTTCCATATTAAAATAATTGGGGGTGCCCGGGGACCTATGCTTTTTTTCCTTTTAAAAAAAAAGATTTCTTTTTTCCCCAAAAAATTTGGGGGCTACGCGAGTGAGAGTTATATACGTTTGACCATTTAAGGGTTAAATTTCCAAGCCCTCCCCTTTAATGGGGTACTTTTTATCATGTTTATTTAAAAAAAACATTTTTCATAACCCTTTATAACGCTATCAAGCCTTCATTTCTTTTTTTTGCATGAATTTATAACTTTTGTGCTAGAATGGGTTTATCGAGAGGGGGTAAAAATCGGGGGATCATTGTTTAACGAAATGTTTCCCCCGGCTAAAATTTCGTGTTTTTATCCATACTATTACTGTTTTAGTATTAAGTGTTCAAAAGTACACTTTAGTAAACAAAAAACAAAAAATAAGTTTTTTTTTCTCGCCCAAAAAAGCTTGGGTAAAAAGGGACTTTCTTGGGGAAAGTACAAAAAATGAAATCCAGAGCTGTAATTTTGGAAATAAAATTTTTTTTTAAGGGTTTTTGTTTTTTATGTTATAGTATCCTTAAATCAGAAATTCTACATTGCAAACAAACACAAGTAGCTGAGTGACATAGTGTCTGACCGTGTAAACACAGAGGGGGGGGGGGGCCCCCCTTCGCAAGTACGGGATATCCCCAGTGGAGCCCAAGAAAAATTTGATCTTTGAAGGGGTCCCGTGTCGTACAAAGACACATTATCCCAAATATTTTTTAAAGGGGAAAAAAAAGGGCTGCCTCACCATTAAGCAGCTCAGCCCAATGTGGGAAGGAATATTGAGAAAGTATTTAAGAATCACCTTGCTTGGATCCTCGGGAAAAGTATAAACCCTTAAATGACAACAGGACCCAAAATTTTTTTTTGTACAAGATATATCCCCATGTGCCCCTTTAGTTGGGGTAAAAAGGGGTGATGAAACCTTATAAGTACTAAAAAATGGTGTTCTTAATGAAAATATCATAGGAGTGCACGTTTTTGGGCTGATCACTGCCGGGACGCCTAAACATGGAGGTATGTAGGCCTATGCCAGAATCATTGACTGCTCATGGAGAAGCGCCCTGAAGGCCCTCAGAAATATATTAGGGGAGAACCCAAAGAGGCCCGGGTCGGCAGTTTCCCCCATGCACCTGTGGGAAGAAAAAAGAAAACAAAATCCTCACCGGAGGATTTTCAAAGAAGTGCAAGAAGTGCCACAGCAAATTAAAGTCACCCCCGGGCCATCCTTCAAGGGGTGGGGGGAGCAGGTGGTCCTGTTGCGATGAAAGGGCCTGGAAGGGGTCACAATTCAGGACCCCAAGGCAGAAAAAAATCATGAAACAATGAGGATGCAAAGAAAGTGCAAATGGGAAGGGGAAAAGACACTTCCATTAAAAAGAAGTAGATGGGAAGGCATAAAAAAACTCGTACTCACCGCCAAAGAAGAAGACATCAGGAGCGAGTTTAAACAAGTCCAGGGTCTGATGCAAAAGGGAAGGGTTTTTGGGTTGGGGTTTATGGGGAAAAATTCCCCATCTGATAGGCCCCAGACTCCACCCGAGAAAGGAGATCTGGATAACATCCCCCTGTTGCAAAATTGGAAGGTGTACCTTGCTAACTAAAATTCTCACAGATATTTAATTGGGTAAAAAAAAAAAAGAAAGGGGGAGAAAAATTTTCTGTTGGGGAGAAAGCAAAGACATGGCTGTCAGAAAAAAAACTGGCAAAATTAAGTCGCGGGGCAAAAGTGATAACATTGTAGATGCTCTCGAGTTCCTTTCTTTTCACCAAAAACAAGTTGATGAAGGCCCCAACCCAATGAGCTATGAGGACACACCAAAGGTAGCTCTCAAACTGGAAGCAGAGGCATCAGCCATGACAGGGTGTGAAAGAAAATTAACGATCATATTCGCCAAACCCTGAGGTTTTACAAGAAATGGACCCTGCTGGAAACCCTCCTGGAGCACCCAAACAAGAGGAAGATGTGTGCCTCTGTGAAGAGAGGAGAACCAATAACCCCTGCACCACTAGAATACAATACTTTTTTGAAACAGTGACTCCTGGAATTTGTGAAGAGGAGCAACTTTCTTTGGGGAAAGATAAATACATTGGTTTTCTCAGCTTGATGTATCTCAGAGTTTTTTTTTTTCTTAAATTGCTTACTTGTGGTTGGATTTATATTTTCATGGTAGTGTACAGTGGACCCTCGGATTATGTCGTCATCGGAATACGTAATAATGGGATAAAGTAATGTTTTTTCGTCAAAATGTTGGCTCGGTGATCATCATTGAACTCGGTATAAGTCATTCGTCTGGAACGTGTCCGCGTGGCCTGAGCGGCCCTGACACTCCATGTACAGCCAGGGTGCCATTGTTTATCAGCCAGTGAGGACAATCCCACCTGTTCATACGATACATTTTGTATTATTCCATTCTTTTTAGTGCTTGCAACTACTAAATAAGCCACCATGGGCCAAAAGAAAGCTCCTTTACCAAAGGTCTGGTACTAGAAGGCGATAAATGCGATAGAATTCAAGAAAGAACACACCAGCCAGGATACTTCCCCACACACACACCAGCCAAGGTACTTCCCCACACACCAGCCAGGGCACTTCCCACACACCAACCAGGGTACTTCCCCACACACCAGCCAGGGCACTTCCGTACACACCAGCCAGGGCACTTCCCACACACCAACCAGGGTACTTCCCCACACACCAGCCAGGATACTTCCCCACACACCAGCCAGGGCACTTCCCCACACACCAGCCAGGGCACTTCCCCACACACCAGCCAGGGTACTTCACACACCAGACAGGGTACTTTCCCACACACCAGCCAGGGTACTTCCCCCACACACCAGACAGGGTACTTCCCCACACACACGATTTGATTTGATTGGGACTTGCGCATGAGTGAATAGAATTATCAAAGCTTATTGCTTGGGAAGCATAGAAAATTGGGTTGGGCAAATACGATTCTGTTAGTGGGATGGTTTGTAAAGGACCTGCCTAGTATGGGCCAACAGGTCTGCTGCAGTGTTCCTGCTTTCTTATGTACACCAGCCAGGGTACTTGCCCCACACACCAGCCAGGGTACTTGC